ATTAGTAATGTAAACTGGTGGAGGCTTTTCTTTAGCCCTTCTTCTTTAATATATGATATGCACACTCGTGCATATTCGAGAAAAAAATAGTAATGTAAACAAGTAAACTACATAAAAGGGGCTAAATCATAAAACCATGAATTAAACATGTTCGGATAACGAAGTCTGACCTTGATAACGTTGCAAAAAACTCATTTCTTTTCAAAGAACACAAAAAAGCTTTGCATGTTGATTTTTTTTTGAAACAGAGGCAAAAGATTTGCCTCATTCATTAATTAAGGAGAGTTTTGAGTACGTGAGAATCGGCTTTACAACATAGCCCATCAACAAAAGGTGCAAACGAATTACTCACGCGGCATGATGATGCTCAGATGTCTAGCCCCCGTGGTGACCCACGTCCTGGCCTCCTCCTGGATGAGTTTTAGAATGTAGTGTGGCGACGTTGATTTCTTCTGGAAGACTCTAGCATTTCTCTCATTCTAGATGACCCAACATACAAGTATGGTGAGTGAGGCCATGGCCTTCCTGTTTGTTGTATTTGGTTTGGACATGCTTGTCCACCAACACTTGATGTTGCGTTCCGAGTATCAGATTTATTTAGGAGAAAGAGTACAAAAAAAGGTGAGTTTACAACGCATCAAGTATCAGCTTGAAACCCAAACTCGATCCACAACCATTCCACCCCTAGCTAAGTGATACCTCAACAATTCTCCACATTCCCTCCCATACCAATCCCTACATTCCCTTGCACAAAAAATTGTTGTTAGGTAGGCAGGGGTAAGAAAAAGGGTTTCCCCTCGCTTTGTATTACAAAGCAACCATTCGATACAACCAACGAGAGGGGCTGGGGCGGAAGCAGCACAAACACGCCCAAAAGAAAGGAAAGAGAAAAAAGAAAAGAAACAAATGCCGATAACGGCGGATCGACAAAAACGACGAAGCTGCGGGGGTATACATATTTGTCAAGACGTTTCTATTAGTAATGTAAACTGGTGGAGGCTTTTCTTTAACCCTTCTTCTTTAATATATGATATGCACACTTGTGCATATTCGAGAAAAAAATAGTAATGTAAACAAGTAGACTAAATAAAAGGGGCTAAATCATAAAACCATGAATTAAACATGTTCGGATAACGAAGTCTGAACTTGATAACGTTGCAAAAAACTCATTTCTTTTCAAAGAACACAAAAAAGCTTTGCATGTTGATTTTTTTTTGAAACAGAGGCAAAAGATTTGCCTCATTCATTAATTAAGGAGAGTTTTGAGTACGTGAGAACCGGCTTTACAACATAGCCCATCAACAAAAGGGGCAAACGAATTACTCATGCGGCATGATGATGCTCAGATGTCTAGCCCCCGTGGTGACCCACGTCCTGGCCTCCTCCTGGATGAGTTTTAGAATGTAGTGTGGCGGCGTTGATTTCTTCTGGAAGACTCTAGCATTTCTCTCATTCTAGATGACCCAACATACAAGCATGGTGAGTGAGGCCATGGCCTTCCTGTTTGTTGTATTTGGTTTGGACATGCTTGTCCACCAACACTTGATGTTGCGTTCCGAGTATCAGATTTATTTAGGAGAAAGAGTACAAAAAAAGGTGAGTTTACAACGCATCAAGTATCAGCTTGAAACCCAAACTCGATCCACAACCATTCCACCCCTAGCTAAGTGATACCTCAACAATTCTCCACATTCCCTCCCATACCAATCCCTACATTCCCTTGCACAAAAAATTGTTGTTAGGTAGGCAGGGGTAAGAAAAAGGGTTTCCCCCCGCTTTGTATTACAAATAAACCATTCGATACAACCAACGATAGGGGCTGGGACGGAAGCAGCACAAACACGCCCAAAAGAAAGGAAAGAGAAAAAAGAAAAGAAACAAATGCCGATAACGGCGGATCGACAAAAACAACGAAGCTGCGTGACCGCTGCGTCCACCGGAGATCGCCCACCAAGCTCCGAGACTCCGAAGTGCCGGTACCCAACAACACCTCAAAGAAGGGACGCGACGATGACGACGCTGCTGCCAAGGGTTTCCCCCGGTACACGGCGAGGAGAGAGGAAGGGTAGCCCCGACGCCCTCCAGGAAGGTCCGGCGGCACCTTCAGGCGCCACCACGTCGGTGTCAGCCAAGCCAACAGAGATTTCTCCCGATCCCAGCCTCTCCCCCAGGCACTCCGGAGCTCGCCACCAGACCGACCACCACCCTACGCCAACACGGACACGAAGCTTCCCACGTTGTCTCACCACGGCTCCGCGAAGATGGTCTGCACAACGAAGAAGAGGAGCCGGGATTAGGGCAACAACACAGTCGGCATACGGGAGGGCCCCACCTCCACCGTCCACGACGGTAGCCGACCGGACACCATGGAAGGAGCCTACTGGGCCCGTGGCAGCAGCTGGACAGCTCCCGCCTCCGCGCAGCAGCTGGCACGCCGTCGGCGTCGCTGTCCCAGTCCAAGCCGCTCCCCTGCCTCCCCATACAGAGAGCGTCGCGGTCGCGCCGGAGCCAACCTGCAAGGACCCAGAAGGGACCCTACGGGCCGAGGACGCGCCACCGGCCGACCAGCACCACCGGACCACCCCGCCGCCAAGAGGCGGCACCACCACGGCGAGCACCGCCCGAGCAGGGGAGGACCGCGCGCGGGGAAGGGCAAGCCCACCGCCGCCAGCATCACGCGGCCGAGGGCCGGCAGCGCGCGCTGACGACAGCGGGAGGAGGGAGGGGCGCGGGGAGGGGCTGGAGATGCGCGGAGGTAGGGCCCCCGGCTGCCTCGCTCGGGGAGGCGGCGCGGGGGTACGGGGGCGTGGAGGAGAAGGGGAGCGGGAGGAGGAAGGAGCTGGCTGCTCCGGCGGGCTCCGGCCGCCGCGGCGGCGGCTCCGCGCGGGGGAGCCGGCGGCGGGGAAACCCTAGGAGCGGGGGAGCGGGCGAGGGCCGCGCGGGATAATTCAAGTAGGCAGGGGTAAGCTTTGTACAATTAGAGTATTAGACAATAAGAATAAAAATGTGATGTTTATCACAACAACAACAAGAGTTGATCACAACAATTGTAGTTGGACTGCATAATAGTTATCATAGCAACACCACTATTATTTTGCACACAACAAAATTTACATGAGTAATGCTGATCCCAGTTTACAAGATAGTACAAAAGCAGGTCCATGTCGCAAAAACAAACTACTCAACCAAGACTGTAGAAGAATCAGCGTCACCAAAGGCAGCAGTGGCATGATTGCGTTTTGCTGGGCTACAAGGAAAAGAACGAGCATATTCTTCCTCCTCAACTTGAAAATAAAATGTTGACACAGAATTGATGTCAGAATTAATCCCCATTGTTAGTAGCATCCTCCTACGATGCCAGCACTGCACAGTACAAAACCACCCAGCTGACTCAACTTACCAGGTCATGCAACCCCATCGTTATGTTACCTGTAGATCATTCTATGAAAAGGATAAGTTGTGCAGGAGAACTCTTAGCCCACATTAGATAAATATAAAATTACATGTTTATTGTCAGAAAAAAAGAGGTAATTAAGCTAAAAAACGTAAGTGCAGCATGCACGGATTAGACGGATTAATATCAGAGTTCAAAGACCGAAAGGCATCCCAAAGAAAGCTTAACCATTACACTATGCTCAAACGTAACAAAGAAATATAAAGGAAAGCCAATGAACGAACTAAAGTATTAATAATCAACGTGTCTGTTCCCTGCCTAAGAATTTGACAATGAAATTAACAGTTTCCCTTCAATCAATCTAAAAGCCAACAAATGACGAAACTTCATGACTAATTAATGATTATAGCGATTCTAGAAATGTCAGGCTCAGAATAGAGTAACTCACGCTACCAAACTTACTCGTGAATGGAAGATTACTAAACTGTATCTTCTAGTTTGATAGTTACTCAAACAACAAATCTGAAGCTTTCACTAATCCTCGAAGTCCATGAGCTGTATCATCAACATTTCAGACTTCAGATTCTGTCTGTGAAAGTCGCTGCCGCTTCTTCTCGGACCCATCAAAGTTTCGTGGGGTGTGATGGCAAGCATTTTGCGTCTGTACCTGAGCTCCATCTAGTACACAAAGAGCGGAAAACCATTAGATACATGAGCACTTGCTACTCAATAGATATGATAACAGTGACAGCATATATAGTTACCTGATTTATCATTCAGATATTCGGTCAGCACATATGGAATGTAGGTCGGATCGTAAAGATACAGCCCCTTTGCAGAGCATGGCATAAGCTCTTCCACCGACTTCCTCCTAGTGTCAACAGAGACAATCCATGCAGTTGGGTCCCGCTTATGCAGCGCGGACGCGAGGTAAACAGCATCACCGTCGCCACGCAGAATAGGAGCAGCTACTCTCAGGTCCTTGAGTGGCAGTTTTAAACCACAGGCACTACCTCCTAGCTGAGGGGAGACAGTACCGAGCTCATCGGAATGAACCCTGTTCCCCTTGCGCCAACAGTTCCAAGTCAATGCCCTGTACCATGTGATGAGCCTCCAACCAACAGTGACATATTCTTCCCCATCCTCCTGCGGAGGATCGATGGCCAATTCCGAGTCTTGGAGCTCATCCATGTCCCAGGGGTCAGGAAGAGGCGGCACAGTTCTGACTCTAAGTTCTACCAGCTCCTCAAGTTCGACGCATCTCATGTAGCCACGGCTGAAGGTGACGTCGCGAATCGCCCGAGGCAAAGATTGGCCGTAGAGTGGTTTGTTGCTGGGCAGCAGCTTGGGCATCGGGACCAAGCGTGACACGGCTGCCCCGGGTTCGAGCACGTCACAGATCAGGATGCCCTCCCAGAGATCGACCCATCCCAGCAGCCCGCCTCCGAGGGCGATCACCTTGGCGTGATCGACCACAAGCTGTTTCCTGGATAATCCATGGGGGAGCTCCACCTGCAGCAGCTTCTTGGTCCACTTGGATCGCGGCTCGGAGCTGAGGGTGTGGAGATAGTACTGCGAGTCCTTCGTCCCGTAGCTCAGAGCCGCTATGACCAAGTGGTTGCGGCTGGAGACGAAACCGAGGGGCAGATGCAGAAGCTCTGCCCGGGAATAACCAGTGAAGTCCGGGATCAGGTCAAGCGACGGCCGGCCGTCGGGGCCCCTGGCTCGGTAGATGAAGTGCTGCGGCGACTCCGAGTCGCCGGTGGTGAAGTCGGCCCGGATAAGGGCGTGGTCCCCCGCGGAGCAGACGACCTCGGGCGCGTGCGCGAAGGTGGTCGCGTCGCGGCCGGGGCAGCAGACGCAGAAGTGGGAGAGGCGCGGCGGCGCGGCCACCACCAAGGAGACCTGTATGGTGAGGCCCGCCGTCGTCAAGGCCCACGCGGTGGCGGTTCCGTTGCGGGGATCGCTGATGCGGGTGGTCGCGTCGAGGAGGATGAAGTTGGGGAGGCGGGGGTTGCCGGCGGCCATCGTCGCCGTGCGGAATTGGGGATTTGGGCGGTGGGGGTTAGGGTTCGGCCGATCGATCGATCGAGGTTGGGGATTTGGATTTTGGGGGTTAGGGTTCGACAGGGGCACCGTTCAGCTCAGTGGACCTCGGGTTTTCCTGTTGGGCTTCTGTTCGAACACTTTGGTGACCCCTCAAATGAAAAGCAAAAACACCTCAAAAAAATGAAAAGCAAAAATAAATAACCACAGAAAATTAGCATGATAATAAAATCTATAAAAAGAAAGGCCTACATAAAATTGCACTGCTCAACTAGTACAAAATAAAAAGGTGCCTACATGATAAAAATATGGCAACAAGATTTTAATACGTTTTTAATGATAAAATGATCCAACAAATTAAAAATCTAATAAAAATAAAAAAGAAGAATTGACATGATGGAAATACCATAAATGATGTGACATTTTTGTTTTTGCCAAGGCAACGTAAAAATCACTCACGTAGCAAAAATTGAAGGGAAAATGTTCTCTAGTGCACGAAGACACACACAAAAAAAACACAAGTAGCCCTACCCCCCTCCCCCACGTATCTATCTAAATTGACGGGTGGGGCTCATAGAGAACACACAACAATCTCAGAATAGATCATCCGTACTTTTTACTCCAATCCAAAGCAATTAACACAAGTAGGATGTAAGGTGTTATCTACTTAGACATCACGAACATGGGCCAGGGTGAAACATTCGCGACAAGTGAGGGAGTCCTGGATTAGGGGTATCCGAACAGCCGGACTGTATACAACGTCCGGACTATCGAAGCGTGAAGATACAAGACTCAAGACTTCGACCCGTGTCCGGATGGGACTTTCTTTGGCGTGGAAGGCAAGCTTGGCGATCCGGATATTATATTTCCTTCCTTGTAACCGACTCCATGTAAACCTTAGCCCTCGCTGGTGTCTATATAAATCGGAGAGGTTGGTCCTTAGAAGGCCGATCACAATTACAATCATACCATCATAGGCTAGCTTCTAGGGTTTAGCTTCTACGATCTCGTGGTAGATCTACTCTTATACTATCCATATCTTCAATATTAATCAAGCAGGAAGTAGGGTTTTACCTCCATCGAGAGGGCCCGAACCTGGGTAAACATTGTGTCCCTTGCATCCTGTTACCATCAGCCTAAGACGCACAGATCGGGACCCCCTACCCAAGATCCGCCGGTTTTGACACCGACATTGGTGCTTTCATTGAGAGTTTCTCTGTGTCGTCGCTACAGGGCTCGATGGCTCCTTCAACCATCGTCAAAAACACGGTCCCGGGTGAGACCTGTCTCCCCGGACAGATCTTCGTGTCCGGCGGCTTCGCCCTGCGGGCCAATTCGCTTGGCCATCTGAAGCAGATCGATAGCTACGCCCCTAGCCACCAGATCAGGATCGGAAACCTGAACTGCACGACGGACATCCGCGGAGACTGGATCTTCGACGGATTCGGGCCTACCAGGAGCACCGGACAGTCACGACGAGCACGGCTTAGACCTGTTGCGGACAAAGCTCGAGGTATCACCCCCACAGTAGCCTCGGACCTAAATCTGGAGCAGGCTGTGTTGCCTAAGGACGGGCGGCTGGACCCCGCCCCGCAGGTCGCGCACTCATCGGCGGTGGAGCCGAACACGGGCCTTACCTCTGTGGTGGCCTGTGAATCCAGACCCCCGTATTCGTATCCGGATGTTGGTTCCAGTCCGCGCACTCCCGAGCCAGTCGAGCCAGGTTGGGCTCCGGTAACGGAGTTCACCGCTGCGGATATCTTCCAGCACTCGCCCTTCGGCGACATGCTGGACTCATTAAAGTCTCTCTCTTTGTCAGGAGGCTCTTGGCCGAACTATGTCCGGCTCAAGTGGGAAGCAGGCGATGAAGGAATTCGTTGCCCACCCACCACCCACTTCATTGCCACAGTCGATGATTTAACCGGCGTACTGGACTTCAACTCTGAAGACATCGACGGTATAGACGACGATGCAGGAGAAGAACATGAACCACCGCTCACTGGGCGGTGGACAGTCGCCTCTCCCTATTATATATATATATATATATATATATATATATATATATATATGGCGGGCACTCCGAAGGAAACCAATGGCAATGAGGCAGCGGAGGATAATCCCTCAGGGAGAAAAGCAAAGCATGGGCGTCGTCGGCGCCGCTCCAAGCCCCGCCACAGCAATACCGGCCCAGAAGACGAAAACAATCCGGATGGCACCGAAGATGAATATAACCCTAGTCGGCCTGCCTTTAAGAAGGCCGGACTGGCCACTGTGGGATACTTGGAGAGGGACAACTATATGCCCCCCCCCCCTCCGAGGACGAGGCAAGCCTCGGCAATGACGAATTCGGCGTGCCTGAAGATCCTGTGGAACAAGCTCGCTTCGAGCGACGGCTCATGGCCACGGCAAGGAGCCTGCAAAGGAAGCAACAGCAGCTTAAAGCTGACCAAGATTTGCTGGTGGACAGATGGACCAAGGTCCTGGCCACCGAAAGATACGGACCCGACCACCCCAACCTAAGTAGGAGAACCCAAGGCACATGCCCCGACGTCAACACATCACTACGGTCCAAAACGATATGAAGGACACACGAAGAAGCATCCTCAAGCCTCGGCGCAATGGTCATAAGAGTCAAGTCAGGAAAGCTGGTGCCAATTCCAGCAACTCCCAGTCCGGTCAGCGGACAAAGAACAGCTCAGACCTATCCGGCCCGAGCCACACACTCGATCAACCATGTGAAATTCATGGTACTCCTAGAAGGACGGCAAAACATACCAATAGAGAATGCCGGATCCTCAAAACAAAGCGGCTGGTCACGTGCCGGAAACAATGAAGGGAGGCATCTGGTCAAGAGCACCCCCCATAGCATAAAAGTACGGTTGATTGCCCCCGACCGCATTAACCACAACAACTCAATTGCAGTGCCTCTGGACATAGCAAACCGGGGGCTCCATAACACATAAAACCCCCGCAGGTGTGAAACCACAAACAACATCTCCTAAAAGATGCTAGGGGCAAAGGCCAAGTTTTATTGGCCCACCACTCTAAATGGTTGTCTTCGGATCACCAAAAAATGCTACGCCAAAGAATAAATCTTCGGCACCTTCCCACCATGCGGTAATTTACCGTATGCTAATGGGATGAACCACGTTGACTAGATTCCACGTGGTAAATCACTCAGGCCAACACCATGTGATGCAATCACACCTATGGTCAAGGCCGAACCCCCTCAGAGTGGAAATCATACAGCTGCCGGAGTAGCGAGTCGCGCATGCCTATCAAAATTTTGATATGACAGCCAACTATCCGGACACCAACTGAGGAGTCCGCGCTACCCAATGGTATAACGACTGGGTTTACCAGGGTCCGATCAGGAGCCCTCGGACCAACCACAAGAGGACGCTCGGCTACCTCCAAGTATTTGCCTTTACAAACTAACTTTGACGCGGAACAGGATTAGTGACGTGGAATCGGCCAGGACACACAAGGAGCCCCCCTAAAAGAAGGCAGTCTGGATTCACTGTTGATCCACTCACAACTCCCTCCAGTCCGGCCATCACAGGTTCTGCCAAAAAACACCTCTTTTCATAATCATACATCGCACTCATATGCATAGACATATCATCTTACTACAATGTGTAGACTTAAATAACACTTACCGGCTGTCGCTTTTCATCGACACCTCGTGTTACGCCCGATTATGCCAGGGGCTTCATAGTACGGCAATAAAGTTCGACCACCTTCTCGGTCGCTTGGCACCCCGAACTTATAGCACTATATGCATCAACTCCAAATCATGTCTTGGGTCATTGGTTGGGTTTTCCCGGCTCCCTTGTTTTGGTACCTTACGTTCCGTTATATCGGCTAAGATAGCGCAGGGAGAACTACTGCGATTGTGTCCCGGATCTGCCGGACGAGCACCTTAGTAGAGAAAGCCGAAAACCGACTGTCATGATATAGCGAGAGCTGGTCAGCTATTTTAGAGGTTGTAAAATCCTTAAATATTTATTCCGCACAACGCCATTATAAATGCAGAGTGCGACGGATCGGTCTTCTGATCAGGCGCCAATAGAGCCCCTAGTTCGGCCTTCAGAACACTAGGGGCTACGCCGACCATACTCGAATTCCTATGGCTAAGTGAGAGTAATAAAGCCTTATAGTCCGATTGCCTGGTTCGTGGTGAGAAACACCTCCTTAAAAGGACCCAAATATGGGATAAAGAGCGTTCAGATATATCCCGAACACCCCCGTCTTCTTTTTACGTGGGGGCAGAAGCCGACGACTGGCCAACTCTCAGGATTTACATACAATAAACAGCCGCACAGGAAGAACATGTGTTCAAACAAAACAGGCAATATATAATAAAAATGCCATTGTCCCATATTACAAAAAGCGGCATGAATGCCCTCAGGAAAATATAATGTCTTTGGTACATTTATCCGCCGCAAGGCGGGCTCCCTTCAGTACACCTTCATAGTACAGTTCGGACTTGCGATGCTCCTTACCCTCTGGCGGCCCCTCGGTCATCAGCTTCTCCGCGTCAAGCTTCCCCCAATGCACTTCTGCACGGGCAAACGCCATACGCGCACCCTCTATACAGACCGATCGCTTAACAGCATCAAGCGAGGACAGGCGCCCACAATCCGCTTCACGAGCCCTAAGTAACTGCTCGGAATTGGCTCCGCCGGCCACAGCCGGACAACCAAGTCCTTCATGGCTAGTTCGGCCGCCTGCTGCAGTTCAACCAGCTGCTTCAACTGATCGATAAAGGGCACCATATAGTTCGGCGCCAAATACTGCGACCAGAAATCCCTCTCCGCAGACTTCTTTTCCTCGGTTCGGTAGAATTGGGCGGCATCTGATATGCTGCGAGGAAGATCCGCAAACGCCCCTGAAAAAATAAGAATTCAGCTTGCCGCTTAGAATTCTTCCCATTATCATGAACAAATGGCTAAGAATACAGAAGGCCTTACCAGCCGCAA